ATCAACAGACACTGTTATACATTTCGTCAATCAATCAATCAAGCAATTGATCAATCAATCAATCAATCAATCAAGCAATTGATCAATCAATCAATCAATCAATCAATCAACCAATCAACAGAAAAAGGGAAGGTGCAGACGGTGATGAGGTGGAAGATGGAGAGACGACATCTGCGGCGAGGCGGAAGGCAGCGTCGAGTGGAGGCGGAAGGCGGCGTCGAGCAGAGGCGGAAGGCGGCGTCGAGCGGAGGCGGAAGGTGGCGTCGGGCGGAGGCGGAAGGCGAAAGATGGGGGTGGAGGCAACCGCAGTGAGGGTGGAAGGTGGTGGGGGTGGGGCTGCAGCTTCGGCGAGGGCGAAAAGCGGTTGGGAGAGGGGCGACAATTGTGGCGAGGGCAGAAGGCGGGGGGGGGGGGGACATGCAAAACCAGGTCCGGTTTTGACTGATTGATTGATTGGCTGATTGATTGACTGATCGACTGATTGATTGTTTGATTGATCGAGCCGGTTCTCCACCCAGTCCTACCGGTAGCCCATAGCAGCATGTGCTAGTGGTCCCTATTGGTCCCTCCGATTTTTCAATGTGGGGGGACCGGTGGTTTAACCGGACCGATAATTTTATCGTCCCAATTTTCAAACCAACTGTCATTCGGTCTGCATGCCCGCCCGCCTGCCTGCCCACCTGCATGCCTGCCTACCTGCCTGTCACCGGCCTGCCTACCTGCCCGCTTGCCCGCCTGCCCGCTTGCCCGCCTGCCCGCCTGCCCGCTTGCCCGCCGGCCCCCCCGCCTGCCTGCCGGCCTGCTCGCCGGCTCGCCCGCCTGCTTGACTGCCTGCCCGCCGACCCGCTCGCCTGCCTTCCTGCCTGTCACCTCCCAGTCGGTTTGCCTGCCTGCCTGATTTGGGCACCCTGTGACAGGTGGTGCACCATAAAGGCCGGAGAGGGCTATTACGAAAAGGCAGAGGGACTGAAAAGTGCAGGGCCAACAGTGCCACAACTTCTAGAGCGATGTATATGGTGCAGATTCAGGGTTGGATGCATCTGGCCGACACAGCTTCAAAATTAGACCAGGGAGTCCCATTCGAGCTTGTGGATTACGTGCCTGCCAGGTGGAGGAAGGAAAATAGGGGCGCAACAACTTTTTTTTTTAACTTGTTTTTTTTCCCTTTTTCAGGAGTGAAAACATATCCTTTCGTATCCCGCATGCTGGCAGGAGGTGCAGCACGCATGTTTCATACAGGGCGGTACCGGTATCTCCCCCTTTTTCCATGTGCTCGTGCCTCATCAGGTGATCTACGTATTTTACATTTTAAAGTTGAGAGGTTTCTGTCTGTCTGTCTATCTGTCTGTCTGTTTGTGAGTGTCTGTTTGTTTGTCTGTCTGTTACATGCTGTATAGGCCCCAACCTATTTCCCTACAGGGAAACTTCCAGGCTCTTGCCTGGAAGCTTCCTTCTGACAGGGCCTACTGGCCCCAGCCTGTTTCCCTACAGGGAAACTTCCAGGCTCTTGCCTGGAAGCTTCCTTCTGACAGGGCCTACAGGCCCCAGCCTGTTTCCCTACAGGGAAACTTCCAGGCTCTTGCCTGGAAGCTTCC